AGAGAGGGAACACAAGCAGGGGGAGTGGGAGAGGGAGAAGCAGGCTTCCCGCCGAGCAGGGAGCCTGATGTGGGGCTAGATCCCAGGACCCTGGGATCATGACCTGAGCTGAAGGCAGACGCTTAACGACTGAGCCACCCAGGCGCCCCCCCATCCATCCTTTCATCCATCCATCTGTCCTTCCATTCTTCCGTCCTTCCATCCATCCATCCTTCCATCCATCCATCCTTCCTTCCTTCCATCCATCCATCTATCCATCCATCTTTCCATCCATCCATCCATCCATCCATCCATCCATCCATCCATCCTTTCCTTCCATCCATCCTTCCTTCCTTCCTTCCTTCCAAAATCCATCCATCCTTCTTCCTTCCTTCCTTCCATCCATCCATCCATCCATCCATCCTTCTCTCTAACCAACCACCCATCCAGGAAGCTTAGAGCTCAGGTTTGGGTGTCGGACTGCCTAGGTTTGTGTCCAGGCACAAACCTGTTTCCTGATTATGTGACACTGAACCTCTCACAAAACTTTTCTGAGCCTTAATGTCCCAATTATTCCAATTGAGGACAATGTCTCCTTCAAAAGGTGTCAATTCGTGGGCTAATGCAGGGAAAGCATTGGGTGCAGGGTGTGGCATAGAGGAAGCAATAATTGGATTAAAGGGATTGGGGTAGTTTTTAAATTAGAAAATTGGATTAGAAAAGATTAACCCTTGGGCCACCTCTGTTGGAAATGTGGGAAGGGGCGAGACTGGTTGGTAGGAGGGAGCCCAGCACTATGAGAACAATTCGTTTGTCTCCTGTTCATTTCTGAGTCTTTCATTTTCCTGTAGGTCAAAGTAATAAAACTTCTACAACCGAGGTGCTGGTTTCAGAGTGACTCAAAGGGGGAGTCAGGTCTGCCAGGCTGGTGGGGGAAGGGCCAGGACAGAGCCTTGAGGCTTGTGTGAGGGAGGGAAGGTGCCAGCCGGGCGCCGGCCTATGCTGTCCCTGGAGGTGGGGACTTCAGGCCTGCAGGGGACTGAGAGCTGCCCTGGGACACACAGCTGGAGGGAGAAGGTGACTCAGCAGAAGACTGGCACAGGCCGAGGGGGAGCGATGGGGGTGGGCTGAAGCCTTGGGGTGACAACAGGCCAGGGTTTGGGGACCAGAGTGAAGGACCTCTCCTTGGAGGCCTGCACACTGTGGGCACGTACGTGCTCTCAAGGGGAAGCAGGAGGCTTCCTGGGTGCCGGAGAGGACCTGGACCCCAGGTTTCCCCGAGCAGCGAAGGCCATGCCACAGGGCTGTTGTGGGGGGTCACATGCACCCACTCTTGCCCAGCCCAGGTGCTTTACATCCGGCCTTCACGACAACCCTGGAGGGTGAGTGACTGTTCTCCCCTCCGCATCTCACAGCTGAGGAAACACGCACACGGAGTTGAAAGTAACTGCTGGGAATGCGGTCTAGCTCTTTTCCTCCAACCGACACTGTGGCTTGGTTTTGGGCCGCGTGGCTCAGGTTCCCGGCGCGGAGCGGACGCTGCCCTGCGGGTGTGGAGGCCGCCCCGGCTCCCCGCGTGCCCGCCTCTCTGGCAGCCTTGGCCAAGGCCAGGCCCGGCTGCAATTCCTCATTTGGGCAATAAGCGACCCAGTGTAATCTTGCCTTTGGGGTTTTAAATCTGACGGACTCTACCCCACTTGCGGCGAGCTCTTTTTGTGATGAGGGACCCATGTATAAATCAAGCCCTTTAAATGGCTAAATTCAGAGCGGCGCGCTGGAGACCGCATCAAAACCCCTCACTCAGCCCGGCCTCCCTCTCCGCCCCACCCCCAACAGCTCAGCCCTGCCCTGGTCCGGTGGCGCCACCTAATGGCCACATCGCGCCGGTGCAAGCCGAGTACATCCTGAAGGATCGCTTCGCCGTCTTTTGCGAGACCGGTTATGAGCTTCTCCAAGTAAGTTAATACAAAACCGTAAGTGCAGCAGGATCGCGATCGGTCTGATAACGCATACATGTGCGAAAGTGGGAAAAGAGCTGTGGTCAGCATGCTGGTTTCTTTTGCCTATGACTGAACAATACAAATCAAAGAAAACGCGGCTGAGAAGAGAGATGGCTAATGGAGAATTTTTTATTCTTAGGAATTGTGCCTTTATACAAAGAGCTTTAAAAAGGCCTTTGATTGAAAGCTGGTGATTAAAGTGGACTCCTCCGTCACACATCACAGCAGCTCTTGTAAAGCGGCTGAAACAAGGGAAGGATGAGTTTGCCATCCTCCTTCCACCTGCTCTGCGAGACCGCCTTGCATTAAATGAGGCCCCGCCCCCTGGCCACGTGATGACCTTAACTGGCCACCACTCCTGGGCCCACAAAAAATTAAACGGCCCTGGGAAACAGTATATTCTGCAAAGTTATAAATAGTAACCTCTGTTAAGGGAAAGGGAGGGTAATTTTTAAAAATGCTTACTGTGTTGCTTTAGGGGCACAGGTAAGGGATTAACCTTCTTCAAAATTGTCACTGAATCCCAGTGGTAAAAAGTAATAACACTGAAATGATAGCTATTCAATCCAGTCCTGTGGAGGGACAAATCCTCCTCCCCCCCTCAAAAGAAGGCACTTTTCCCACCTTGCAAAGTGCCCCGGGGAAGGCTCTTTCCCACAGCTCCTTGGACTGCAAACCTCTTCAGTTTCTGATCTGAAAAAAAAAAAAAAAAGAAAAAATTAAAAAATCATCCTTCTCTCCTTTTAAGCATAAAGGCTTCTTCTGCCAAAGTGATCTTTCATAAACTTTAGAAAAATGTTTCTCCGTAAACAATACTAGCAGTAAAAACTGAGAATACACATGTGAAGCTTATCAAAGTATTTTTAATAACTGTCCTGCAGCTAATGGCCACAGGCTAGAAAAATCCAGGCACACCCGCTCTGTGTTGGAGCAGGTTCGCCTTCCCCAGATTCCGACCACCCCCCTTTGGCACTTTATATAAAGAACTGGTGGGAAATCAGCAGGAACTTATGAGATCTGATGTGTTCTTGGATTTAAGGGGAAAGCAAGAAATATTCATAAACTGCTGCAGAGGCCCACATTTGATTCCTACAGTGCCAAATACATCTTGAAAGAGGAGATCCATCCCTCTGTAGGGAACAAACCCCGCAGAGCTACTGGGGTGTGTCCAGTCATGTGGGTGTGGCACCCCACGCCGGGCACCGCCCGAACCACCCCCCCCAACCCCCCCCAGAGGAACCAGTGTAGGAGCACAGCCTTGGGGCGTGGCGTCATGATATAAACAAGGTAAGTAATATTTGCTGAATTCTTCTTTAGGGTGATTTGCCCCTGAAATCATTTGCTGCCGTCTGTCAGAAAGATGGATCTTGGGACCAGCCGATGCCCACGTGCAGCAGTAAGTCCACGTGACCATGGGTCCTGGGGCGGCTTCTGCTGCTTTGCCTGCTTTGATCACTGCTTCTGGTGTTTTTGGAAACGGTCTCCTTATCAGGAACTGAATTTCAAAGTTGCTTCTCTTCCCCAGCCTCTCTGTGCACTTACAGGTTCAAACGGAACCAAGCTACCAGGAAAAGTATTTCCTTTGGAAAAGCATGATATTTAAAAATATTTTTCCAGGTGTAAAATACTCATTGAGGATGGGAAAGAGAAAATGAAACCTTTTAATTCCCACAATCCCACTGTTACGACATCCCTCCAATCACACACATCTCTCACACGTGTGTACACACACACCAAACTGGGGTGAGGGGGTACATTACCATTTTGTAAGCATCACATCTTATTTTAAATATTTTTTCAATTATAAAATACATGTTAATTAGAAAAAATAAATTTACAAAAACATAGTGAGAACCTCTCTTGCCCAAATCCCCAAACTACTGCTGAGGGTTTAGGGCCCATTCCTTCATTCCTATGCTGTATACATGAAGGGATTTCACTATTATATACTTTTTTAAAATTACATTTTTTTAGGATTTTTAAAAAAAAATTATTCATTTAACAGACACCAAAAGCACAAGCAGGGGGAGGGGCAGAGGGAGAAGTAGGCCTCTGGCTGAGCAGGGAGCCCAACACAGGACTCGATCCCAGGACCCGGGGATCATGACCAGAGCTGAAGGCAGACGCTTCACCCACTGAGCCACCCAGGCGCCCCCGCTATTACATACTTTTTAACCAAAATGGGATACTAAGTCTGATCGCACTGTGCTCTTTCCCTCCACGTCGTCGGGATCTCTTTCCACATCAATCCCAAGTATTAGCAGAGCCGCTCACTCATCCTTGTTAACGACAGCATGGAGCCCCCACCGCAGTGCTCCCAGATTTTCACTATTACATACACTGCTGTAGCGAACGCCCCTGTAAATATATTTGTGCATACTGCGTGCAAACGTTTCTCCACAGAATTCCTAGGGAATTTAAATATTTTCATTTCATAAATTTACATTCCCACCAATGAGACTGTCAATCCTTAGTTCAAAAGCAGCAGAGCTGGGAGGAGTGAGAGGTCTGGATTTGAACCCCAGCCGGGCCACTTTAATTAAGCGAGTTGGGTGTGGGCATCTCCACAGAGAAGTGGACAGCACTTGGCACAGAACCAGGCACACAGCTATGAAGTTGCGGAAAACGACTTAAATGTAACCTTTTAAAATATCCAGAGAAATCCATCGAATTTTAGCTCTTCTGTGGGAACCAGACTTCTAGACTGCACTTGGGCTCCTAAACTGGGCAGTTATTTCACCTTAATTATGTCCCCACAGGTGTGCATTTTAATGCAAAGTCAAGGTATTATGACTTCCGGGTCCCCTACACATTTTTGAAAAGGAACCTAAGAAGCAGCCAAGTCCTTCTTTGTGTTGTTCTTTGACCTTTAAGACCAACCGAACTGCAAACCGAGGACCATTTTCTGGGGATCCAGCCCGGGCAGGCACGTGCAGCCTGGCCCGGTTCTTCCCTCCGAGCAGCTGCTTGCGGCAGACCTGGAGGTTAGAAGTCAGGGCGCCCGGCACCTGCGTGACTCGGTGAAGCGTCTGCCTTTGGCTCAGGTCAAGATCCCAGGGTCCCGGGATTGATTCCCGCATCGGGCTCCCTGCTTGGCGGGCAGCCTGCTTCTCCCTCTTCCCCCTGCTTGTGCTCTCTCTCAAATAAGTAAAATCTTTTTTTTTTTTTAAGATTTTATTTATTCATTTGAGACACAGAGATACAGACAGGGAGCATGAGCAGGGTGAGAGGCAGACAGAGAGGGAGAAGCAGGCTCCCCACCGAGCCAGGAGCCCGATG